GCCAAGGCCGGGTCCTGTCTCTTGGCTGGTCCCTCCCCCAAAGCGAGGGCATCCAGCTGCTGTGGGTTTTCCTGTCCTCTCCCAGTGAGGCCTGGTTCGAGGGGCCTGTTATCCCTAGGACAGGCCTGGTACGAGGCAAGGCCGGGCAAGCGCGCCTTGGCTTCAGACCGGGGGCTGTGATCTTACCCCTGCGCTGAGACTATCCAGTGAGGGCCCCCTTCTCCCTCCCCCGGGGGCTGCCCCGCCCGGCCGACTTTGGTCCCGAGGGCGACTAAAGGGCTGCGCCGCCCCTCGCTTCCTTCCAGGGACCGGGATTACGACGACATCGACGAGGAAGACCCCTTCAACCCGCAGGCCCGCCGCATCGCCACCCACAACCCCACCCGCGGGCAGCTCCGCAGCTTCTGCAGCTACAGCAGCAGCCTGGGCAGCCAGGCCAGCCTGCACCCGCCGGCACAGACCGTCTCCAATGCCCCGGTGTCTGAGTACATGTAAGGCTGCCCGTCCCCTCCCTCCTCGACTGCTGGGGAACCCCGGGGCGGGGCCGGTGCGCGAGGACTGGCCTGTAGCTCCCAGGGCAGGGGGAGCTGAGCACGCTGTGGCAAAGGCACAAAGGTGCCTCTCACGCTGCTTGGAGGGGCCTCGGGAGACCCAGAGGGGATCCTTAAAGCACTGACCACAGAAGCTGACCACTCTTGGGCTCAGTGACGCTGCGGTGAGGAGGAAGAAGGCCCGTGGGAGAGTTTGGTGCACTCGCTGCTTCCCACTTAGGAGCTGCCCTCGAGCAGGGAGCTGCTGCGTGGGAGGGGTGGGTTCTGTGCCCTGCTTGGCTGTTCTAGGGAAAGTCCCTTCACTTTGCTGGCCCTGTATCCCACCCCGAGTAGAACGGAGATGGGACTGGATAGGAGGTGGGGTGTTGGTGTGCGGAAAGCGCCCTCTAGCCATGGGGTGCTAGAAAAGAGCAAGAGACGATTCTCCCCACAACCATCCATGGTGGGGAAGACATTCTCGACCCTGTTCTTTGTCGGCTTTACAGCCCCCTCCTTCCTCCAAACAGTCCCAAAATCTCTGGGCGCCGCCAGTCTTTGCAGAGGGCTCGGAAGTGTCCCCTCCGCATGGAGATGTGGTACCCTGCTTCATGACTGTCCTCCAACCCAGGAACGAGGGACGTGGCACGCCCTCTCCCAGATCATAGAATACTAGAACTGGAAGGGCTCTCGAGGTCAAGTTCAGTCCCCTGCCCTCGGGCAGGACCACGCACCATCTAGATCATCCCTGATAGATGTTTGTCTAACTTGTTCTTAAATATCTCCAGGGATGGAGATCCCACAGCCTCTCTGGACAACCCAGCCTAGATGCTGTTAATGACACGAGCTCTGGGAGTTCTGGTCCATTCAGCAGATCTGTCATCCTTGGGGGGTGCTGTGCCATCTCTAAAAGGCTCTTCCTCCATCTCCTCACAGGAACCAGGCTGCGCTCTTTGGTGGAAACCCGCGCTATGAAAACGTCCCGTTGATTGGAAGAGGCTCTCCTCCCCCTACGGTACGATGGGCATCTGAAGCCAAGTCGTTTTTATAATAGGGCCCCTCTCTGCTCTGTTTTTATTGTGTTAATCACGTTAGAACAGAAGAACGGCCATACTGGGTCAGACCAAAGGTCCATGTTGCTAATTGATGGGGAATCCTTCCACTTCCTCAGAAACCCAAGGCTTCATTTGCTGAGCTAGCGACAGTGGCTCATGAACAATTCCTCCTCCAACCCCTCTTGCTCTTGGGCGTTAAGGGATGTAACCTGTCCTTTTGAACATGGTACCTCCAGCAATGATAGTCCCAAGGCTGGAATCGACACTGTTGGAAATGTCGTACTGTGACAGGAAGTCCCGCCTTTTGGAGGTGGGACTTCTTGATATGCCACTTGAGCTGGAGGGAGAAAATGGCTCATGAGAAGACAGGTAACTTGTAACCCCACAGCTCTACAGCTACATCACTGATACACCACATTATGACCCTCTTGGCTTCATTGTATTGTATCTTGTCCTAACCTCATGCTTTAGTGCCATATTTAAAAGCAAATGCGTGCATATCTAACTCGTTAACAGATTTCTTCTCTAATCAGCATTGGCTTTTGAGGGGTGGGGGGGAAGAGCCATATATTCCAAACATCTCAAAAGACAACTTAAGTTTTGTTTCAGTTGCTTTGATTCTGGTTTTATTTATGTTTGTCCCCATTTACCTGGAGTGTATTTACCTGGAGTGTCTGGCTTAATATTCTTTAAACACATCTTGCCTGTTACTGTTTGTTTTTGTTTTTGCCTCAACTATTTTGGAGCTTTGTTGCCCATCAAGAGTAAGTTTTGGTTTTTTTTTCTTTCTTGTTTTGGGATGGTCATTTTGTCCATTGGTTTAGCTGTCCTCACCTCCTTCTTACATTTTGTGTGTTTTGTGTGTGTGTGTTGATTTCATTGGAACAGAAATGGGAACCCATTG